GGTGGTAACTGCACTCCCATGCACATTACCCCCCCCCCCCATTCTCAGACACAGACCCATGATACATAATGAAGATTAAAAACAAATCCAAAGATTAGGATGTTAAATATTTAGTATTCTGGGTTTCCTTGATCACTAAAACTACAAGAGAATACAAATGTCATTTCACACTCGAAATGACAAGCAAGCTCTTGTACTTGTGGGATTAAAAGTAGACTTGTTAGCAAGCAGGTAGAACTATCCTGAAGATAACATGAGGGGTGGCTGAGTTAGCAAAGATCTGAGTTCAAATCCTTTGCACCCATGTGAAAAAGCTGAGCACAGTGGTGTGTACCTATAATCTTGATGTCCGGGAGTGGGGTTTGGGTGGGAAGGGTGAAGATCCTAGGGGCTTGCTGGCCGGACAGACTGGTTGAATTAGTGAGCTCCAGATTCAATGAGAGATCTGTCTAAAAAAAAAGGCAAAGTGATGGAATAGACATTTGTCATCAACCTCTGGTCTCCACATGCATGTGTGTTTTACCTTCACACACAGATGTGCATGTACACAATCATGCATGGAGACAAAAGCAAATGAGTCAACCTATGTGGGCCACTTCATGTGGTTCAAGATGAGAGTTAAGACATTTCTAAATGGTTTTAATGGTCATTAACACACGCATATCATTTTGAACTGAACTGTTTTCCTTACCACAGGGATGGAAGACTCATTTCACAGTAAGCCAAGTTACATATCAGCATGGTGTCTTCCAAAAGGCCTACCAGCAGACTGCTCTCCATTTGGAAGACCTTAGGCCATCTGAGGTGCAGACCGGTAGTGTAAGGAGTAAGGTTTTTCTGCCCGCCGCCTGGTCTTGTCCCGCCGACGCGCCAGCCCCAATCAACACACTGAGACTCTGTATTTGATATAATTCTGTTGGCCAGGTACTAGTTTCTTATCGGCTAGCTCTGCCTTAATTATTAACCCATTTCTGCTGATCTATGTATTTTCATGTGGACTTCTCTTACAGGGGAGCTGGCTGGCATTCTGCTTTCTCCAGACTCTCCATCTTGACTCTCCTTTCTACTTCCTCTTTCTCCTTGTCTCCTAGTCCCGTCTATCTTCCTTTCCTATTGGCCAACAGTGCTTTATTCATTAACCAGTATGAGAAACATATATACATAATGGCATCTCCCATCACGGTAGGAAGTCAGCAGTAGCTGTCCCAGCAAGGCTACCCCAGGGTGCAGAGCAAAATAAAACCCAGGCAGGAGGTGAAACCAGGTGGGCTCACTGGGGTAGCGCTTGGGGGAGGATTTAATAAATTATGATGCCTGCTCCATTGCTTGTTCACATGAAGAGCTGCTGACACTTCCGTTTAACTGCAGGTGATAGGAGCATTATCCTGTTTGCACCAACTGTCTTCTCTCCAGAACTGTGGACATGGGGAGGGGCAAAGCCAGAGGCCTGGATGTAGGTTAGCTTATTCAGCAGCTATCCAGGACCTCAGATTCCTGTTTTGGACAGTCCTTGAATCTATTCTATATTTTCCATTTGGCCTTTACATTATCACGTGAGAATGAGATAGCGCTTTGCTTTTCCCTTATTCTCTGCTTTAAAGAATGTAACTGCCGGTTGGTGGTGGTACAGGCCTTTAATCCCAGAACTTGGGAGGCAGAGGGAGATGGATCTACATATAGCATGATCTACATACAGCCCTGCTACAGCCTGTCTCAAAAACAAAACAATAAAAAGTTCTATATAGCCATGTATCACTTAGTAAAAGGGACATTAAAAAAATCTATCATTGGGTTATTTTTGTCAAGCAAACATCATGAAGGGTATGTGTACAAGCCTAGATGATATGTACCCCAGGTACAGATGATGGTTACTAGGCTATGACCTGTCAAGTCCATGAATAAGGAGACATAGCTCCAAGTTGCTGCCTTGAAGTCTCTTATCTTTCGAGATCATTGACTTGGGCATAGTAAATAATTTCTGAACTGCAGTATGAAGCAGAGTTGGACTTATTAGAGTTATCTTTATTTTATATGAATTGGTGTTTTTCATGTGTATGTCTGTGTAAGGGCATAGGGTCCCCTGGAGTTGCAGTTATTGGCAGTTGTGAGCTGCCATGTAGGTGCTGGGAATTGAACCTGGGTCCTCTGGAAGAAGTTAGTGTTGAGTCATCTCTCCAGCCCTAGAATTATCTTTTAAAAAGATTTATTTTATGAGTGCTTTGTGTGCATGCATGGATGTGCACCAATGCATACCTGGTGCCCTGAGAGGTCAGAAGGGCATTGGATCCCCTGAACTAGAGTTACAGTTATGAGCTGCCGTGTGAGTATGAATGCTGGGACTCAAACCTGGATCCTCTAGACCAATGCTTTTAACCACTGAGCCCTCTCTTAGTCTCATATTAAAGGTATCTTAATTTAGATCTTATATGCCATCGTCAAAGAGAAGTGATCAGAAAGAAAAAAAATACCCGAGAGCATGTGTGTGGGCTTCAGAGTGACACTTTATTGTTTTTACAATAGTCATATAGAAAATTTTGGGGTTTGAAGCTATTATCTTCAAAGGGTTGTAAAGAAACCTAAATGAGATCACAGGGTGGTTCCTGAGGGGCACTGACAGGATTATAATTGACCAGGGAGAGGCAGGAAATCATTACTGTAGAACATCTAGTGTTGAAATTCCTAGAAAATGTCTGGGTAAAGGAGTGAGGCCTTTACCCACATATATACATCCAGGCTTTTGTTTTTATTTTTTGGAGACAGGGTTTCTCTGTGTAGCTTTGGAGCCTGTCCTGGAACTCACTTTGTAGACCAGGCTGGTCTCACAGAGATTCACCTGCCTCTACCTCCCAGCTACATCCTGTGTCATTGCTGTCTTCATAACATACACATTGGAAAGGAATGTGTTGCCTTTGTGGCAAATTCAATTATGTTCAAGCTCTTGCTTAGCCTCCCAGAGCTTCAATCAGAATCCTTGGTGATCATCTCCTTTCCGTTTCCATGTCTCCATGACTTTATTTTGTCCTGCTCTTAATTCAGTACAGCGTTACCATAACTAGGAGCACCCACCACCATAACCAACAGGAAACAACATAACGAGAGTATTGTGGAAATTCAAAACAGGCATTTCTCAGCTCATGTGTCTGTGCTGGGACCAGTCCGACATGTACCCACCTTTTGCTGACAGGAATGTTACTATGCTGCACCTAGCAGTTCTGTTCAGGTCAGTTATTTAGAGAAAGGCCTGTAGGCTGTCTGGGCAAGTTGCAGAATATGAATTTTCTATAAAATCTGGGGATTATGAATTCCCCCTTTTTCTTAGAACCTTAAAAAAATGTAAACCCTTAAATTTATGCAAAACAAAAGCACATCATGTAAGGATAGTGAGACTTAAGATATTTCTGTGTATTTTATACTCAGTTTAAGCTACTTGTCTAATGCCTATGGCATATGGTTATCAAAGACCTGTTACACTCTGTATTCTCAAAACTAAGAATCTTTTTGAACTGCATCAGTCTAACAAAAACTTTAATTCAATTCTTCCCCACTAAGGTTAGTAGACCAGCAGCCTGGTCTAGAACTCCTTTCCCAGTGTTGTCCTCAGTGATAGTAGATGTTCCCATGCTCTTGGCACTGTAAGAACCCAAGACTTCACGTGTCCTGCTCCAGCTCACCAGAGGATTGTCTGTGGCTCCCCATTTTGTCTGGAACAAGAGGTTATGGCTCCACAGGTTCAACATACACAAAAACCTGTTGATAACAAAGGTCTTGATTCACAAGGAATTGTAATTCCATGTAGAACCATGGAAAAATTGACCAAAGGATGACCTTACACATCAGGCTTCCGCTCAGGAAACTGAACAGTGTAGAAGCAGACACTAACCGACTGAGTACTCAAGTACTGAGGAGTGCAGGTAGAGTGTCCTGCTTGAGCACACGTTGTATTCATCACTTAGCAACACTTCTTACTATTCAAACATCATAGATTTCTTCACAGTCCAATTAACACTGATAGTTCATGAGACAAGGGTCTTCATGTATGACATTTCATGACTACGGGATCAAATTATATGCCTTTTATCTTTTATAGTGCAATAAAAACACTGAGATCTTTGTCTTCATTTCTTTATTATGTCTGGACCTTTAAGAAACATATACCATCATATATATCACTATCAGTAAAAACCTATTCTAGGTTTTAGGAAACACACCACAATCTTTCTTGTTTCTCTAAGACTACTAAGGGTTTCTCAAAAAGGTAGGCTGTGATCTATGGAATCTCAAGCCTTGAGGTTTTCATCACTGTAAAATATGTTCAAGTGGATAAACTTCATTCCTGTTTTTCTTCTGGAATGGGTAATCATTCTGAAATTTATAGTCGATTCTAAGAATATTCCATTCCTTAAGCACTGTTGTCTATCATGTCTTTGGAAAACAAACTTGATTAAAAAGTATTTCTTTCCCCCTGTAGAGTAAGGATGGATTTCCCAGAACACATCCATATTAACTAGTGAAAAGCACTGTAATGTACATGTGTTGTGTTCACTTTAATGACCTCACACCAGCGACTACTCTACCATGGAGGTGTTTCTGCAGCAGTCTGCTCTCTGTGTAGTTAACGTCAGGTTATTCTACCCTGTAGGAGAACTGTTATCTGACATTAGAAATGAAAAGGTAAGTGAACAAACATACTCACATGATGTATTTAAGAGGGTCCTTTGTACGAATACATAAGATGGGGCTGGAAAGGGTTAAAGCTATTGCTTTGGTGGGCACCCAAGTGAGATGAAGGAAGGCATTTTTAAGAGTAGATTCTGCAGCATCAAAGGTAATTCTGGATTATTTCAGTTCGGAAGCTTCAGAAACCGAGAGTAACAGTATCCAAAGGAAAGGGCCAATTCTCAGAAGATAAGAAAGGTACGTGCTATGATGTTGATGGTTGGAAAGACTTTGGTGGTATCAATGGAAAAGGAAATAATTAATACACAGACCACATAACACCATTAAAACCAAAAAAAACCATTTTTTTTTTTCATTTAAAAAAGTTTTAGGACACATAAAACAAGGCAACATTTATTCTTTCTTGTCGTCTTCGGGCATGGGGTCTGTGGGTGGCTCCTCTACCGTTGCGCTGTTGCTCTCTGAGCCAGTGTTGCTATCACTGGTCCCTTCTACCTCCATGCTGTCGACCCCCTCCTGCCCACTCTCCTTGTCCTCAGGAGTAGACGTGCCTTCTTCCCCATTCTGTTGGCTCTCTGCTGTTTCTTCCAGATGTGTCTCCTCTGTAATCACACATTTGCCACGGTTAGTTCCAAGACAAACATTGACTCTAACTATGCTGATGGCATAAGATGTTCTGTCCAATAAGATAGTCACTACCCACACTTGGAGAAGCACCTGAAATGGACCACTATGACCCAGGAATTTTTAGCCATATTTGAGACAACTTAGGGTGCAAGAACCTACATTTTTACCTATAGGTTTATGACATTTAAATATAAACCAAACACTTGTGAGAACGGAGCTTTTGTAATTATGAAGTGTATGAAATACACACTGGATTACAAAGACTTACTGAGACAAAAGAATATAAGACAGTCGGGTGTGTGTGTGTGTGTGCGTATTGTATGTGTATGTGCGTACACACCATATGGAGGTTAGAGAGGACTGCAAGTGTTGTGTTCCTCAAGAACTGTCCACTTTAGCCAGGCAGTGGTGGCACACATCTTTAATCCCAGCACTTGTGGGGCACAGGCAGGCAGGTCTCTGTGAGTTCGAGGCCAGCCTGATCTATAGAGTGAGTTCCAGGACAGGCTCCAAAGCTACACAGAGAAACCCTCAAAAAAGCACAAATAAACAACAACAACAAAAAACAACTGTCCACCTTTTGGAGACAGGCTCTCTTGCTGGTGCAGAAGTCACCAAAAAGGCTAGGCTTGCGAGGGTGAGCCCTAGGGATCTGCCTGCCTCAGTCTCCACAGTGCTGGGATGACATGTATATACCATCATGCATGCTGTTTACATGCCTGCTGGTTCTACCCACTGAGTACTCTTTAGCCTAAAATGTTAATAAGATGTTGGTAACATTTCAACATTTTGGATATACTGGGTTAAATGTAACATTAAAATTAAGCCAGAGACAGTGGCATATGACATTTCAGCTACTTGGAGGCTGAGGTTAAGATTCCTCATGTTCAGGAGTTTGAGGCCAGCCTGGACAATGTAGTATAGCATGATCCTGCCTGAAATTCACAAAATGAAGGCACAGAATGAATATGCCATGCTCTGTTGCAAGTCCTGCTGGGCCATTTCCTTTCGGAAATTAAAAGCACAAGGTTTTTGATAACTCGTATTTTTTTCTTTAGTTCCCCTCCCCCTTCCCCCCCTAAGTTAGAAGACAGAACCTGAGTAAACACCCTCTGCTGACAGAGGAAGACAAACTTCATTTAAGGGCAAACAGACTCAAGACTGAGCACATGGTCTTGTTGCAAGATGAGAAAGAAGCATACTGACTGCCAAGCATCTGCTGTAACCACAGAAATGTGCTTCAGTCCTGAATTTATGGTAAAAAACAGGTTCACAAAAACAGAAAGAGGCCCAGAAAATGAAGATTAAAACTAGACTTGTCTGAAAAGATAATCTGCTGAGTTAAATACTGCGTAACTCCCTGCTAGAGGTACTGATGTTCCATTAAACACTGTATGGGCAGTTGCTGTTTGAGTACAAAGTATGCCCATGTCCCTTCTATTTCCTGTGGACTCTGATGGTATCCCGTAACTACCTCTGGCTTACTCCTGTCTACCCACTAGGCAGGGCCAATAGTTGCCAGAAGGCAAGTTGATCTCAAAACTCCAAGAATAACCAAGTTCATTACTGTTTTATGTAAGTTTAACTTTAAAAACAAAAACAAAACAAACAACAACAACAACAAAAAACAAGAACAAAAAAACCAAAACCCTAAAGAATGCTTTTATTTAGGAAAATCAGAATATCAAAAAGCAAACTGCTCTAGGGTGAGGTCAGCTATCTGCATGTAAGGCCTAGATAATCATCATTTTAGGCTTTGTGGGCCAGGAAGTCTTTCAAGTCCTAAACACACACAGACACACACACAGCCTACCTCAAAGCAGCCACAAACGAGTGTGGTGACCTTCCATTGAAACTTTACTTATAGAAAGATGGAGGCTTACAGTTGTTACTTTGCCCTGTGCTGTCCTAGGACACCAACGACAACAAATCTTGAGAATGATGATTACATCTTAGGTAAATGGTAGCCATAAAGGTTCAAATATTATTGCCTATTACTCCTATGTTAAATCCAGTACCAGAATGCATTCAGAGGCAGGTACTTGTTCAAATGAAGAATTGAGCTAAAACGCCCAGTAAGGTCACAGCGATGGGGAAAGGGATGAGACCCTTTCTGTCTGTCCCCAGAGCCACATGTACCCACCTGGGTACAAGAGCTCAGACCACAAGGCTGAGACACCATGCTGCCCTGTTGTGCCAGCAACAGCAACAGCAGTGGGGTGTCTACTTTGGAGAGTGAGATTGGAAAGTCACAGAGATTAACTAAAGGGCATGGCTGCTGCAAAGCATCCAGAAAGGGAGGTCAGAAGCCAGCTGTCAAAAGTCCTCATATGTCCCGGTACCAAGGAGCTGCTTACCTGTCTCCATAGGGATGCTCTCCTCATCCTTCTTCTCCTCGGCTTTGTTAGCCACTTGCTCTTCCTCAGGGGCGATGCTGCCCTGACTGCGCTCGGCTTGCTCTGCTGCCTCCTTCTCCCTCTCCTCTTGCCTTTTGCGGGCCTGTTCTTCAGCTTGTGCAATTTCAGCTGCAATTTTCTCCATGTCTACTTCTACCTTCAGAGTGCATAACTAGTCAAAAACAAATCAGAGAACTCTTAGCAACATTTTCTTCTTTGAAACTTGGAGTCAGGTGAGTTGTTTCTTGGCTTAATAATGGTATTTACACGAGGGAGAAAAACAAAGCAGTGTTTTGTTCTCAAACTGTACTCTAGTAGCACACCAGATATGGAAATGCAGAGGCTGCTGGGAGCACTGTCCAGGACTGGGCTAGCCTTAGGATGCTTCACTCACATTTCATCTACCAAACATTCCGTTCGTTCATTCATTCACTTTTTAAGTTTTTTTTCAAGACAGGGTCTCTATGTAGTCCTGGAGCTCACTATGTAGACCAGGCTGGCCTTGAACTCATTGAGATTCTCTTACCTCTACCTGGGATCAAAGGTGCACAGCACCAGCCCCAACTGAACTACATCTAATGAAGACATCTATGAATAAATTACAATAAAGTGAAAACAATTCAAGACTATAAAGATTTTAAACAAAAGCATTAGAGGGCTCTATCATCTGTGGGCCTATGACTTAAATGCATACTACATGACATTACAAATTTATTGTAATTTTTCCAGAAAATGGGAATAATTTTTATAAAGACAGTGCAAGTTACACTGTGATGTTACTATTGTTTTAAAGTGATCAACACTCAATAATAACAACATTACTTTAAGAAAAAAACAGAGCAACAGGCACACGATAAAGGCAGTCAATGAATGGAATAGGTACCCTTTTAAGTTCATTGTTAAAGGAATCCGTGCTTTCCAGAAATTTCCTCTTCTTTTCCTGGTGTCGTTCCTCTATCTGAAGAAGTTCGGCTTCTAGTTTTCGCTGCAAGGTATCAGATCAGATTATATACCATTATACGTTTTCTCTAAGGCAGATGTAAAGCACACAAAGAATGTAATTTTAAAATTAGTTTATGCTCTAAAGTATAATTGTGTATTTTTAATTATGTGTATGTGGGTATGTATACAAGTGTACATGCCCAGGGAGACCAGAAGAGGGTGTTGGGTTCCCAGGAGCTGGAGTTACAGGTGGTTGTGAACCACCTCACATGGGTTCTAGGAAATGAACTCAGGTTCTCCAGAAGAAAAGTACATGCCCCTAACCACTAAGCCATCTCTACAGTCCACTGATTTTGGATTAAAAAAAAAATTAGTAGTATAAAATCTAGCTATTATTTTAAAAATGTAACATAAGGAAAGACTACTGTTAACAAGAAGTTAATGAGTAAATTTTTTAGGAAAATCATTTTATAGTAAAGCAGCAAAGGCTGATGGGGTGCCCTAAAATTCTTCAGTTTGCACCCATCTTTTAAAAGATATACTACAATGTTTCATTACAGCTTTGAATGACAAACTTACTAAACTTGAGGAATGGTCCTCTCATCAGGCACAGCTCCCTTTTATTATGGCGAATGCTTCTGCCCTTACCTGATGGACCATTAACGACTGGACCTGTCTCTTGAGGACCTGCATCCTAGCTGTTGTGACAACCGACCGCACATCAGGTACTACACTCTCACTGAGGATCTCACTGATGAGGCGGTGGTTTCTCTGGAAACGGGCAGTGGCTGTATGCTTCATCGAAAAGCCATCATCATAATCTGGAATGAAGGAAATGGTCTAGAAATTAGGTGGCTAGTAACCAGAACAATGTTAACAAGCAATTATCAAGTGTGGCCCTCAGTGTCCTACCAAGTGGATTTGCCCAGCATCAGGGGAGTCAGGGCAGTAAGAACCACACAGAGACAGAAGACACAGCCATCTGAAATGTTGTCTCCATAAAGCTTGTAGGTAGGAGTTCACAAACTGGGTCATACCCCCAGGGTGGATAACCGAATGACCCTTTCACAGGGGTTGCATATCAGATATCTACATTGTGATTCATAACAGTAGCAAAATTAGTTATGAAGTAGCAACAAAAATAATTTTATGGTTGGAAGTCATAACACAAGGAACTGTATTAATAAAGGGTCATTAGGAAGATTGAGACCACTGTACTAAGGGATGATTTGTGTCTGAGGTTTGGTTAAAACACAATATATGTTCATATCTCTTTTAGCTCTGGGATCTATGTGAAGCCTGCAGTACTTGAAATTCTGCCAAATACAGGTACACATGCCTTTAATTCCAGCACTTGGGAGGCAGAGGCAAGTGCTGTGAGTTTGAGACCAGCCTGGTCTACAGTGTGAGTTCCCAGGACAGCCTCCAAAGCTACACAGAGAAACCCTGTCTTGAAAAACAAAACAAAACAAAACAAAACAAAAAAACAAAAAAGAAACCAAAAGTGAAGGGTGTATTTATGTGGCGCATGCCTTTAGTCCCAGCACTCAGGAGGCAGAGGGAGGTGCATCTCTGTGAGTTCGAAACCAGCCTGGTCTACAAGAGTTAGTCCCAGGACAGCTTAAAAGCCACAGAGAAACCCTGTCTCGAAAAAATAAAAAACAAAACAAAAACAAAAAAACAAACAACAACAACAAAAAAGAAATTCTAGCAAATGTTTCTCTCCCAGTAATGATTGAAGGCATTTGATAAATGCTGAACTATAAATAGGTAGTATTATTATCACAGCTGTTAAAATTAATGAAAATATCCACCTGTAAAAATAACATCACCATCTTCTCTAGCAATATTTAGTTTTCCAGGCAGTACTTATGATTTATTACATTAAAAATGGTAAAGACCTAAACTAATGTTACAGAAAGAAAAACCACAACTTGATTTCAAGGCTAGGAGAGGCTTCACTTGATAAAGGGTTTGCCAGGCAAGCACGAAGATCTAAATCTGGGTCCCGGCCAACAGTAAGGAAACACTGATTGTGGCAAATTCAGAAGGCTCAATGGTCACTCTAGCCAAACAGCAAGAAACTCTGGCTGTACTCCAACCTCCACATGTGCCAGCACAGGGAAGTACAGGGCATACACCATACCCAACTGTATCACAAGAAGGAGGATAGCCAACATTGGCACACACAGGAACATACAACACACACTCAGAGATACTTGAGTCTAAATTTATAAACATGCACATGGCTGTTATTAGGCACATACAACACACATTTGTGTTATTTTTGGTGTGTGTGATGCATGCATGCATGTCAGTCTCAGGTATGCACACATATGTACACATGAATGTGGAGGCCAGAGAATGATAGGTGTCTTCTTCTATCTCTTTAAGACAAGGTCTGTCTCTCGCTGCCCCAGAAGTTCAACATTTTGACTCGGCTAACTGCCCATCATGGGTCCAGAATCTGCCCATTTCAGCTCCCTAATGTTGGAGTTATGGGCATATGCCAGCTATCCAATGCTTGGCTTCTTACATGCATGTGTACTGGAGATGTGAACTTGTGCTTGCACAGCAAGAACACTTATCTACTGGGCCATCTCTTGAGCCCCAGGGTGTGTGATTTTTTTTTTTGAGACAAAATTTACTGTGTAGCCCAGGCTGGCTTTAAACTTGCATTATCCTTCCTGCCTTAGTTTCTCAAGTGCTGGGATAACAAGTGTGTGCTTATTTCTAGTAACACAGGTGTTTCCTTTAACTTGCTTTATTGGCTTCACATAACTCGTAGCCGTCTGTACTAATATCTATGTAATATTATTTTTTTTTTTACATTAACTCATCAAACAAATCAAGTTTTCCTTCCAATATAGATAGAAATAAAGGTTGTCATGGCACCATCCAATCCTTAGTGTCTCACAGAGGTATAGTTACCACGCTTAAGGAATCCTGTTACAGAGGCCTGAATGCTGCACACAATGGTCTCTCAAGAGTCATTTAAAAGCCTTCACTGTCTTGGTGAATCAAGGTCTGTTTGTGAACCTTCTGACAGTTCTCTAAGAAGGTAGCAGATGCTGCCTTCATCTTTTGATGGGTGGCTCCCATCTCTTGGTTTTCTGTACATTTTTCTACTTCTCAAGTCTTAGAGCAGTGGCTCTCAACCTGTGGGTCTTCACTCCCGGGGTGGGGATGGGGTGGTGTCAAAGGACCCTTTCACAGGGTCACATGTCAAATGTTCTGTGTATCAGATATTTACATTCATAACAATATCAAAATTACAGGTATGAAGTAGCAATGAAATAATTTTATGGTGGGGGCTCACTACATGATCAGTATTAAAGGGTCGAAGTGTTAGAAAGGTTGAGAACCACTGTCGTACAGGGTCACATTATATTAATATAGCTTAATTATTACATTCCATGTTACTGCTCATGTAAGAGCCTCTCAAACTTAGTTCCTGCTGTTATATTTGCTTAGGAAATATTGTGTTTTCTACATATGGCTTCTGTGTTGCCAACCTTTGTTTCTACTATATAGATTTCCATTCTCCCAGCTATTTTCAGGCTTACTTGCTCTTCCCTTGTTTTAGTCATGTCTTTCTTGCATCAACCATTTCATCTGGATAATTGAAGTCTGCATATAAACCTTGAGTAGTGCCTATGCGTAACATTAAATTCCTGTTTCCATTTTATTACACTCTACTACATTTATGAGAACTTTTGCTAGTAACTCCAATGAATCCTTTTGAAACTCATTTCTAATTCTTCCTCCTTCTGAGCTGAATTTATTCCTATCTTTTGGTGCAATTATAACCTCCTCCACTCTATAACCCTCTTTTAAAGTTCTAAAGAACTCCCTCTGGTATGTTTAAGTGGGATCTTAATTTACCATCTTGGTGTCCACCATGCAGTAGGACACAGAGACAAGTAAATGTTTATGCTAAGTATGTGGATGAGCATGCTCCTAAAGGGAGGTGGCTATCAAAGGGGCCCCTTGAGGCTGCAGACTGCCTGGCTGGGAGGCCAGGAGAGTAATCTGCACATGGAATCCTAATTAGGAAGCCTGTTCATCTGTGAGTAATGTATGTGTAATACATGATATCCTGTCTACATGTAATATATGATAGGCATTCACGAGTGATCTCATAAGTGGTACTCTCAAATTCATACTGGATTTTGAATTAAGTTTTTACAATGCTTCGACACACTCATTAATTTTTGCACCTAAGAGCCTCTAATTCAGTAAATTCAGGTTATCTGTAAGATTGGATGTGGCAATTAAGAGCATGTACAGCTCTTTTAAAGGACCAGAGTTCAATTTCTAGCTCCTGACCCCCTGTAACTCTAACTCCAGAGAATTTGACACATTCTCTGGCCTCCTCAGGTGCTACACTCACATGTACAAACCTGCAGTCTTGTTACACACATAATTAAAAAACAAAACAAACAAACAAACAAAAAATGACTAGATGTAATGGAGTGTCTTTAAATATTTACAAAATAAGTAGGCTGGATAAGGTAGCACACACCTTTGATCCCAGCACTCAAGGCAGAGGCAGGCGGATCTCTGTGAGGCCAATTTGAACTACACAGTGAGCTCCAGTCCAGGACAGCCAGGGCTATCTATATAGGTTTAGATACCCTGTTTCAAAAAACCAAACCAAATAAGCCAAACTAAACCAAACCAAACAATAAACAACAACAAAACCCAACCCAAAACAAACAAACAAACAAGACCACAGTGCTGCTTAGGGTGTGTCAGCAGAAGCCTATGGTCTAGGATTTGGAGGCTGAGACTGGAAAATCATCAGTTCAAGGCAAATCTTGAGTAACACAGTGAGACCTTGTCTTGAGAAGCAAATAAATCTTATATTCTGAGTACAAAGACTTTGAAAAGTAATAGATATAGCTCCCCCACTTTAATCATTTTTACATACTCTAAAGAGTATTTTTCTCATGAGAAAGTCATACACAAAAATCCTATTATTGAAATAACTTAAAATTACACTTTTCCATTTAAAAGAATAAAAGCCTACTATTTTAATTCAGAGAGAATGTACATTTCCCCTTACCATCTGGATCCTCAGCAGGCTGAATGCTCATATAAGGTTCTCCTTTCTCCATGCGAGACTGTCTCTGTCGACTTTCTTCCTCTAATGCAGCTTCTGCACGACTTTTTGCATTAATATATGCAAGGTATGCAGGGGAATTATGATAGGCCTTCATAGATTCATTGTACTCTATCTGAAATTGAAAGGGGCGTTGGTTTTATAATGTGCACCTTAGAAGCTACCGTGTGTGCCTGCATTGACCATCTGAATGTCAGGGGCATGAGGCAAAGCATGGTGTCGGGACAGTCATCTCTCTGAACAGAGAACACAAGGTTCAGATGTCAGGTGAGTGGAAGAGCTTGGTGGACAGAACCTCAGTGTTGCCTCAGCTTTCTGGTCAAACCTTATATTTCTTTCATAAATAATAAAATATTTTATTTATGTTTAAAATATTTTATGTACCCCCCCCTACCTTTTCTGCTTCGTATTCGTTTAAATATTCTTGTTTCTCTTCATCAGTGAGATCTCGCCACATGCCACCAATAATCTTGCCAATTTCCCACAACTTTAGGTCAGGGTTGGAAGCCTTTACTTGGTCCCAGACCTTAAAAGTCAACAGTTGAAAACTCAATATTAATGCCTAAGAATATAATCATTTAAAAATACTCTACTATGAAAACCTTTAAACACAAACAAAAGCAGAGAAGGCAGTATCAAACTAGTATGTACCAATCAGCCTGCTTTAAAACTGCCAAGAGCTGGCTTATCTCATACACCATGTCATTTTACTCATAAATACTTGAAACTGATAATTTAAGAACATCATTAATCACAGTACACACTTACAGCAAACTGACCAAACAATTAAGACTATATCTGTAACAGTTCATGAGAATTTAGAAGCAGTTAACTTGTATAATACAAAGGCATCACATCAAACATATATGTAATAATTATGATCAAAATAATATTTTTAGTATACTTATTAATTTTGTGCTCTTAGAATTGATCCTAAAGGCTCTTATATGTAGGCTAGGCAAATGTTTTACTACTAAGCTACATCCCAGACTTATTTTTAGAAAAAATAAAATATCAATCTATATAATCTTATATTTGTTTTTCTAATTAACATTTTCCACATGTCTCAATAGTCTCCAAAAGATATTAATATTACTTTCATGGCTCCCTAATCTGTTTAAAAGATTTTAGCATTTTATTTAACCATGTTCTTCTTGGATTCAAGTTCTAGAATTCTGAAATCAGAACAAATCACTTTAAAAATTACAAGTTTTTGGCCGGGTGGCGGTGGTGGACGCCTTTGATCCCAGCACTCAGGAGGCAGTGGCAGGTGGATCTCTGTGAGTTCAAGGCCAGCCTGGTCTAGAGAGTGAGTTCCAGGACAGGCTCCAAAGATACCCAGCGAAATCCTGTCTCAAACAAAACAAAACAAAACAAAAAATACAAGTTTTTAAATCCTTTCCCCAAATATGTGTAAGGAAGATGCCAAGCCAGTCTGAAATGGCACGGACAGTCTGAGTCAGCAGGGCAGGGGCTCTTGCCCGGTCCTGATCCCTGGTACACACCTTTCTGCTGTACCTCATGTAGGGCATCAGCGGCTTATCTGGTGGCTTTGGAGGCTTTGGAATCGTAATACCAGAGGATGCCTGTAAAAGAGATAAATACATGCATTATTCAATTGTAAGGAGTTCACTAGCACCTGAAAAGAAAGTCTCTTAAAAATTCTAATGCGCCTTTCTTCTACTCGTCCATGGATACAAGATTCTTATATTTTCTCCAAAGAAAATAGATATCACTGCAAATTCAGAAATGTTTATATCAAAAGAAAATGATTTTAAACAGGTAATATTTAATGTTTTACTTAGCAGTTTATTTCCACTGTTTGACAACCTGGCTGCAAGAATAAAATATTATACATAACCATACACTGAAAATGGGGTTACATGCCAAATGCCTCACATTTAGGACATTACCTGGTGTCCTTTAATTTGCTCAGTTACTATTATGCATACAGTCAACATTAGATATCTGTAGACTCTGAGCACTTAGCACTTACCACACACACACTGCCTACAGGGGATCTTGTTATCACGCAGGATTGTACCCCATCCAAATACAAAGACCACCTCCCAGGTCAAAACAAAACAAAAAAAAAAAAAAAACCCAATAAAAAACAGGAGGTAACTAAAAATCTAGCAAATATATTTAAAAAGAAAAAAAATATGTCCTTTAGAAATACTTATTTCTCTTAAGGTTTTACATTATCTTGTAATTTTCTGTCTAGTAGTCTTGAGGCAGTGGTTTTCTTACAGGTTCTTGTCCTCATCAGATTGCCACATAGAAATAAAGACGCCTGTTAGGCGCTGAGCACTGGCAGACTCTGGCTGGGCCTCGCTTAGGTTATTTTTGAGGCCCATCCCACAACATTGCTTTTGTGGAGAAGAAATGAGGACAAGGAAAGATAAGACACAAACTATTTTCAAAAGGGCAGTGAGGACAGCGGTGAGAGCAAAAGTGAGGGAGGGAGCAACCAGAGTGTACAGTGATTGGTTCTGTCTATGGGGGATGCTACAGGCAAGGAGACACCAGGTGACTTCTGGCAGATGCCCTGTATGGAGCTGCTACTTCAAGGACACCTGGTTTTGATTGTTATATCTTCTCTTCATATCACTGCTTTGATGAGGGAGTCATAAGAAGTAATATGGTCTATCACACTTGGCTCCAACATGGGTGGGGGGGGAGTGGCTGATAGTGACTCTGCCAGAATGGGGACAGGATGGCTTGCTTCACTCTAATTATCAACACACACACTGGCAAGTCCTTGCTGCTCTGACCCCACACAGATCTGGTCTTAGCCAGCAGTGGGTGGTGAAATGAAGGGACACATGTGGACAGAAACTATCACAGTGGTTAGAGTAGCCAATCAAGTGGGCCTCATGGTTCAGGAACCCTAAGAAGTCAGAGTCCTACATGGCTAACCTTATGCATGGAAAGTCTGCTTCTCAACACAGCATGTAATTAGAAAACATTTTAAGCCCAGATCCCAAACAAACTTTTGGAACACAAAGTGGGTCACATAAATAAATAAATTAAAAAAAAAAAAAAAAAAAAAGTTGCGCCCAGATTTGAAGGTACCAAAATACTGTTAACAGGTAAAAATTCTAACATGTTTACTTTTCAAACTTTAAGTAGGAATTAAAACAGTTAAAAATGTTTAGTTGTATTTGCTTACATCTTCCAAAGAATATTAATAGATTTGCTAATTCACCTCCTTTCCCAAAGAAAGGTACCTGAATAAAATTACAAATAAAAAACAAAAACAAAATAACACCACAAAACAACACTTGGCCCATTCCTTAAGAATAGTAAAGTGAAATTCCAGTAGGTTTGGGATCATCATATATCACCAACTTGCTTAGCATCTTTCTAAATGTCCGAGACATCGTCTACTATGCCCTGAGCACATTATCTCATCCTTTCTTGGTAAGAGCCACCTAGAAACAGTCATTGTATGCTGTAATGAAAAACTAGTCGACTCTTTGGCTAAGTGGTCTGGGAGCACAATTCTGGAGAGCTCAACCTTGCTTTTTCCATGAGGACTTATCCTTGTTGCTATCATGAAATCCACCTGTAGCACCAATTCTCCATCTCTGCAATTTCTCTCTTCCCACTTGCAATGAATTGGAAGTGGGGAAACTTGTTAAAACTGTTCTTATCTAAGAGTTAGGTCCTACTCCATCTGTGGATAAAGTCCATGATTTTGTGATCAAGTTATCTTGGATAGCACATGAGAATTTTTTGTTGTTTCTCAATTAAAGTTTCTTTTGTTCTGGAGACAGGATTTCTACCAACAAGAAGACAACACTTTGTCTCAATCTGTTTTTGAACCTGTATATTGGAGAATGCGAACTACTATCTGAATAAAGTGATCAGGTGTGTGGGCTGCACTTAAAGCTATCCTAAGCCCTCCAAAGGTCTCAATCTGGTACCTAAGTGTTTTATTATCTGAAGACAACCGACATGTAACAAAGCTCTTGCATGGGATTCACAGAATCATTCCATCAAATCACTATGGCTATTTATAGCTAACAATTTACTCAACAGGAACATTCCTCACGAAGTAGTCCATCGTTGGGGTCATTCTCTACAAACACTTTTTATGACCAACTGAGTCCCAAAACAGTAAGTCAGGGTTATAAGAGAATGCTAGTGCCCAGATTTCTAGCAATTTGATCACATCAGTCTGGTGGTAACAGAAGAAACAACTACAAAGAAGGCAAACACCAAACTTCTCACTCCTAATTCACTCTCCTACTGAAGGCTAGAGCCCACTCCCTACACCAAAGACTAGAGCTCACTCTGCATTCTGAGTTCTTCTATCCCCCAGAAGGGAAAGGGTTAAAGACACATGAACAGTATAGACCCAGAAAATGAGTGCACTCTCCTTTTTCTAGTAAGATTTCTACTGAATGACCTTACTTTGTACCAACACAGAAGCCTCTCAGCTATATACACATTAAGAACTGGTTGTTTATACAAACCCAAAGTCAAGCTATGACAGTGACTACTCCTGTTCCATTAGCATGGCCACCAAGAGCTCACTGTATGGAGCCATTGAGAATGATCATTCTTTCTAATTACCTATAAATAAATTTCTGCATGAACACAAAAATCCAAAACTAATTCTGCTTACTGTGAGCATCAGAATGTTCTTTTTCATCTGATAACCTTGCCACTCATTACACTTGTGAAACAACACATTTAGGCCAGGGAAAAATATGTACTGCTGCACATAGAAACTGTATGCATTGCACAATGCACACATAAACATATTTTGTCAGAATCCTTTTCAGATACTGTGACATACGCATGGCACATAGAACTTGACATGTTTATGAAGTACAAATTATGCAGAAACAATGGAAAATTTAGACATACAAAACCTATCAAGCTAAGCAATGTGCTTATCAAGATAGACACATGGTTTGATAGTGACGAGTTTTCAACTATAGCATTACTACAGGGTGAGAGGGTTTTTTTTTTTTTTTTTTGAGTTACATTTCTTTTTTATGAATACAGCAAATGAAAACCAGACATTAAAAAGTTTACAGCCATTCTGTGTTGTATATATTCTCACCAACACCACATTCTAATGGAGGTTATTTGACTTTTGGATTTATTACCTTAATTTCCTTGGAGTTTGATAAAAGATAAAAGCTTTAAAGTATGTCATCCAGTTTTGATTATCTTAGTTGGACCACTTAAATGAAACATCCCAGCTTTTAGGAATCATCTTTCTCACAACAATTCTAGGTGTACTTATCTAACACCTAGAATTAATTCAAGTTTTATCCTGAAATTTCTTTAGGTGACAGTAATTTTTTTTTTTCTGTATTAAACTGGAAAGAAATGAGTCTCAGATAGGCCAATTACTAAATCCAAAAGACAAATAACTGAGTGTAGAAGTTTGAGAGCAGGTCTGCCCAAAGCTTTCCAGTCCAGATGGAAGTCAGGTCTAAAGTCCCAGCATTCCTTAATAAACTACATCCTTGAGAGTAACGCCAATTACCTTAAACAACAAAAGATACTCTTCACGACATAAAATATTTTAACCAAAAGAATTCTAGATTTGTTTACATATATAGTACCCTACTGATCACCAAACAGAATGGATTTCTTTTCTTCCAAGTACATATTCCAGTCTGCACTTTTTTTTTTGTTTTTTAAATGGCTGTGCTTCTGATTCAAAAGGACCTAACTCTGGAGGCATTTCTGGTCAATTCCAGTTGTTTGCCGGAGGCTGTAATAGTTGATTCTCCTACCGTGACCCGGCTGTTGGTGCCCGGGTTCCCTCCCAGCCTGTAGTTGTTGTAGGCGAGATGACTGTATGGATTGTATCCCACAAACCCTGGTGTGCTGGGCATTTGCTGATGGAAACAAATGAGACAAAAACACGAATGAGAAATGAGCTCAAACGAGGAAAACACAGAAATGAAAAATGATCTGCATATGGCATGCAAAAGCAACCTGAATTTAAACAAGCAATGATGTGTTGTAATTGTTCTTTTTGTTGTTGAGGAAATTAAGAATTTTTTTTTTAAATTGAGAAACCAGCCTGCAAGTATGTTTGTGCTTGCATGTGCGCGTGCGTTTGTGTGTTTCTTTTCTTTCCCTCTTCTCCTCGGTGGGTTAGGGTTAAGGATGCTTGTGAGACTGAGTATGTTGTGTTTTGTGTCTGAGGAAAACATCACACTGCAGTTTCAAACATCTACAGCTATTTCATGGTCAACAGTATGAGATAACAACTTGTCAATCTGTGATGTCTGGGATGAGAAAGCTTCAAGTATGGTAAATTTAAGTCTGAAAACACTACATGCAAACGAAACATGGTTTATTGGACAGTTATGTGGATGCCACCAATGCACTCATTTACTAAAAACAAAAAACAAGAAATGGATCTGCTTTTCAAAGACAGCTTTAAATAATTTTATAGGTGACAAATGAGAAGAGACTCAAATCAGGAAGCCAGGAATTGTCAATAGGAAAGAACATATGCTGGAGTCAATGGATGTCACATGCATGATTTCAAAACGAGGACTTGTAAGGAATGCATAGATTGCATACTGGGAACTATCTGATCGTTAACCCAGTCTTTCTTTCATAGGCTTTCTCTTCCAGCTCTTCTTGGTCCATCTTCCATAGGTAATCATGAACAGTTTATGCATTTAATTTTAGTGGGAACTACTTTTTTTAGTTGACAGACTTGAACTTCTTTTTCATCTGATTTCCTGAAGGCTCTCAGCCTTTCCAAATACAACTGCTGGCTGCAGCGACAAAATTCTTGATTTTTGTGAATTATGTGTTCATATAATCACAAATGGGTTCTTATGTAATTGTGGCCTTGTGGTTAATACAATGACATCCAATGTTCATAAAATCAAGGCATAATGCATAAAAAGAATGTAGTAAAGAGACCAAAGTGTATAGTTTACTTAGTAAAACTCAATCATAACAAGTGATAGCAATGTCATTTTACATGCAATTAACATAGCTCTACTGAATTCTACAAAAGTACACTTGACACATCCCCACTAAACTCCAGTTGTCACAAATAAATGCCATTTCCTAAAACATGCCCTTGTACATATCTTAAGTATCCAAAGACATTCAAGCAGGCAGTACATGTTACATTTTTTTAGAGAACAGAGTGATTAATTATAGCCCACAGTTAGAAAAGACGCAAATTAGGCATATTTAAGTAGCAAAACACAGATGAAATAGTAAGGCACCAAAGAAGTGCATATTACAGAGTGGTTCATCTGAGTGGTGGCTGTGGAGGGAGTGGGTGGTGATGATAAAAGCAATGGAATTAAAAGAGAGAGAGAGACTAACTCATTTCATATCCATTCTGCTAGATGTTATAAACCCTAGTTTCTGCATTTTGTGTGAAAATGTGAAATTATGGTATGAGGGAATAAAAAAAAAAAAATCCCCTTCTTTGTATGAAAACTCAGAAGGGGATCCTGGTTTTTTAAATATCTTTATCTCAATAATAGTAAGTTTGTACACTATTGGAGGCAGTATTTATATAAAAATGATACCTCCAGACACTGCATAAAGAACGAGTTACAGGTTCAATATGAAGCAATAATGTAAGCAAATAGGGGAATTAAAAAAAATGAAACTATCATACTGTAATTATACCATATCTAAAGTCGAGGGGCCTAGTTATATCTTTGAGGGGAGGCTCTCAATCGCTTAACTCAATCTGGACACAACCATGAGTATGTGATGGAGATGGTGGTAAGAGGTGTTCTTTAAGAAAGAAAATAACGAAGCACAAGACTTCACAGTCTACTGGAAGCAATTTTACAGACTATACATTACATGAAGTGAATGTAAGAATGTATGATATGCTTTTTAAAAAGAGCATCTAAGGAAAAACAAATTGCTGATAAATGTAACTAAAACATTCACCTATGGGTTAGTAAGTCACACTAATTACCTAGTGGAGAAAACAAAATGATACAGGAACTCATTAGTAATAAAAGGAAACTAGCCTGAAATTAGTTGGTGGAGGGCATGGGAGGAAGATCTAGCAGACATTAAAGAACTAATTTTGGGCTGGGAATGCTGATAATCCCAGGACCTGGGAGGCCGAGGCAGAAGGATCACCATTTCGAAGTCAGCCTGGGCTACATAGAGACCCTGTCTCAAAACAAAACAAAATAAATCAAAAATAACCCTGATTCTGATTTTGTAGGATATGGTTAAGTGGTTTTTAGCATTTCGACAAGGGCCTGTATACTTGTGTTAAATCTGAACTGTGGACTGGACAATTATTTTACATGCTGATCAAGCTGGGCTAGAGCTTGCTGGGTAAAAACAATTCCTACCATTAGACATTTGGAAACAGGTCAGTCAGCCAATCATTATAATTTATGGAGAAGAACAAAATTCAGTAGCAAGTTCTGACCCACAGGTAATGAAATCCTAACTTGAACAGCTTGAAAATAAGATTTATGATGAGTGTGGTTATCTTCAGAACTAGAAACTTTATTTAATGTGAAAAATTTTATATACAGACAAGAAAGTTTAATTAAAAAATTTGTGTTGTTGGGGTTCCAACCTGGGCCTTGCACACTCTGAGCACACAGCTGCTCTGACACTCAGCTATGTTCCTAGCCCTTAGAGTGAGAAAAAAAAAATGTAACCAGTTGAAGGTTAGGTTTAAAAACAACAACAACAAAAGAATAAATAATGCCAGAATGAGTATTTACTCAATCAACTTAAAGACTCTTTAACAAGGAAAACAAGAAAGAAGTGTTTTACGCATTTCCCATTAGGAAAAAGCAGAGCACAGGAGGTTGGAAGCTCATAGTATGTATTTTTAGGTGTAGGGTTTGGTTCAAGGTAGGATGAGAAGAATTATTTTATTTAGTAGGAAGAGCTAATTTTTAGCTGAATTTCCTATCTTGTGACTGTAATGACTGAGTGACTGTCACTGGAAGACATCTGGGTTTTTGTATCAAGGCCAGACTTGGCTATTACATTAACAAGAAAATTAAAACTTACTGTTGCAGGAGCTGGGGTGGGAGGTGGGGCATAAGATGGTCTTTCTGTTTGAAAGAAAATAAATAACTTCTTGTAAACAACTGAGATATAATACTATGCAACAAAACTACCAATGGTCCTGTTTTGAAGAAAAAAAAAATGAGAGTATTTTGGAATTTCCATTCGCTAGGGCATTCGTCTTGTATTAACACAGATTGATAAATATAAAAATTGAAACTTACTTGACATTTTGGAAGATTAAGTTCTCAGTTCCTTAAGAATGAATCTGAGACACTAAAATAAAAAAAAAGAAAAAAAAGAAAAAAAAAGAGAATCAAAACTCAGCAAGCATAAGAGAATGTTTTCCTAAAGAATAGGGTAGTTTGATTGGTATTCTGAGCAAAATTCACTGTTATTCACTAGTAATCAAGCCTTTTGCATATTTTTAACTAGTTCTTGTAGTCCTTGATTGATCAGAAATGATGAGAATAAGTTACTGGGAAATTTAGAGTTATATTAGAGATGGATTTTTAAATTTTTGCTTATGATATTGAGCCACGTCTTGTATGGAAAACATTTTGCTGATGCCATGCAAACGTTTACTTAGACTGGTAAAAAAAAAATAATGACAATAGAATGTGATGTATTATCAGGGTGACCCCAACAAGGCCTACCAGATACTGACAAATCCTTAATCAGTGGCTCTGCTTCTTTTAGGGACATCTTTTATTGAAGCAGAACAATGTCCTATTCCTGGAAGATAATTTGGTATGACAATGAACTTTACATTGTCTTTTATTGGTAAATAGTTTCATAAGTGCTGGGATAAACTTTTAGAGTCTACTTGGACAACTCTTGGTCCTTTACAGCCCATTTTAGAAATTATCTCCGGTACTTTCTTGATAAATTATCTGGGTAGAATAATTGCAACTTCTCTGTATTCCTATCTGGTCACAAAGATTAACGGCATTTTCCCTTACACATCATGCCAACATGACTAGGTTTTGTCGTGAAGAGAGGAGGGATGGTTTAATTTATTACTGTATTGCTCAAACCCTGCTCAATTCTTCACAAATTTGGTCATAGTATTACCAGCTCACAACATGGACAGATGTGAGCTCGATCCTTACTCTACACACACCACAAATGGTAATGTATAAAGAGATGAAAAATTATCTTTAGAAAGAAGGTGAATAAACTATGACTTCTGGAGCACCTTTCATCCAACACTATGTAAAACAAACACTTCTGTTTTCCTTCCACATTTCATTTAAGGAAAGCCTCAAATCATCAGGGTAGGAGTTCTGATGTGGAAACAACTTAGGTTTTCAACCTAGGCCTCTTTTCCTTCCATCAACACCTAGTAGGCCTTGCTGTGGGGAGCCCCGACAGAAACTGTAACAATGTCCCTGCTACCTTACACTTCACTGCTAATACGTTCAAATGATCGCTCTCCTAGGCTAAGAATATAAACTCTTAAGAGTGGATCTGACCCCAGTGCCTAGCACGGAACCCAGTATTTGTTGAATTATTACCTTACAAGGTAGGCTTAATACAGTCTCGCTCACTACTCACAACGACCCTACCAGATACATTCAGCTGTCCCCATTTTACAAATGAAGAAACAGCTTCAGGGCGATTAAGATAAAATGTCTAAAGCCAGAGGTGGGTTTAAACCCAACCCACACCGTCCCAGAGTTCACTCCTCACACCAGGCCACCCCGGGAGTCTTTAGGTCGCTGCCTGAACCAAAAAAGGGAACCACCTTCCAGGTGGGCGAGGAACCCCGCGGCCGTGCCCGGAGGGCTTCCGGAGGTCCTCTCTCTCTCTGAGGGTGAGCTTTTCTGCCACCCCCCCGGGGGGGTTGTGCATCGGTGCTCGGCCGGCGTCGGGGTCCAGGGTAAGGGGACAAGTGTCGCCTCCGAGCAGCTGTCCCGGATGGGGCTTCTCTGCGACCCCGCCGCCGCTAGGCCTCAGAGAGGCCGCAGCAGCCCTAGTTCCCGCCTCGGAGCTGAGCCCGATCCCCAGCACCCCGCGGGAACTCGGGGTCCCGCCAAGCCGCAGCATCACAGCTCGCTACCCTCCCCGACCGGGTCGGACCCACTTGGAAACACTCACCCGCGGGCCGAAAAGGCGCCCGCAGCTCCGGCTTCGCTTCCCTTTGTCCCGCGCTCGCCCCGCCCCTCGCGCCGGAGCTTCCGCGCTCGCACTTTCCACACGCTCCGGGATTTCTCTGCGGGCCGCGGCCGGCTCTCGTCAGACGAACAGGCCTTCCAGGGAGGACGCGGCGAGCCTTAGTGCGGCCGAGGATTTTTTTCCGGGTTCCACGCTCTCCTCAGAACTCTTCCAGTTTGGGTCCTGTCCCAGCCAGGCGCCGATTCGTCACGGCGAGGAGGGCGGAGAAGGCCGGGCCGGGCCGGGCCGCGTTGAGGGGCCCTGGTTCGCGGCCGGGCGGCAGCAACTGCGCCGGGAGTGCGGCGGGGATTCTCCGAGGCGGTGGGTGCCGCCGTGTGAGACCCGCGCCGGGCGAAGGCACGCCGGAGCCTCTCCCGGGAGAGGGCGGGACGCAGCTCCCGCACCCCGGCGTTTCCCGTACTGTGGTCCTCAGTACGCCGCTGCGGGATGGAGTATGGAGGACGGAGGCGGGGAGGACTCGGGTCGCCGCGATTAGGTCCTCGCCGGCGCCCAGCAGGGCTCCCTGCCTCAACAGCCTCAGCGAAAAGCAACACGGGAGTTTTGTAGTTTTCCAGATGCTTCTAGAGGCTGAGTGATGGCGACGGGTTTCTGAGCTTAGGGTCCGCAGCTGTCAGCTCACTCTCACCAGGTCGCATACCTGTGACAATTCACATTTCTTTCCAGGAGAACCGATTCAGCTTAGCCTCGCCTGTTTTCAAGTAGCCAGCTCAACTGTTTCTTTGTGATGCCCTCCTGGAACTTTCCCAGGCCAGTCCTTTCTTTGGCTCTTTGTAGTCCTGTGTCTTGATACCCGTTATTATGGGACTGGGCCATCTGTAATCTTGAAAAGTCTTTAAAACAAAGGTTCAGGCATCTGGACGGGACAATTTAATAATTACCCATGGTTTCTAAGGGCCAGCCGCGTAATTGGGTGTTCAGTAAGTGTGTGTGGAGGCACCTTTCTGGACCTTTCCAGGGGTCCTTTTTACTAATTCCAAGCATTTCGAGGGACCATAGGAAGTATAGAAACACCTAGCTGATGCGAGTCACAGTGGAGGAAACATGAGCAGATGACAAAGTTAGCATTGAGAGAAACTGGTTGAATACTGGGACTACCTGTTGGCCCTTATCCTGGTTGTGACAACAGGAAATGAGGTGTCTTTAGAAGTGTGCAGTGCCAGGGTTAAGTGAAAATACTGTCCCGTTCTTCCGTCGCCCAATGTTTTCATACTCATGAGTAGAAATTAACGAAATGAAAGCACATTGGACGGAAAGACTAAAGGAGAGTGTGTCCGATGAATGGTCACATCAGGGATCCAGGGTCCTCTTGCTTGGGCAACTCTAGCCTTGCTACTTCTCTGCTTTAGGGCTCATGGGGTGGAGTGGTAGAAAAGGAGATTGCGGGAGGGGCCACTGTGCTTTGGGTGTGGTGATAGTTTGTGCTCTAACAAATAAAGCTTGCCTCAAGATCTGAGGGTGGAGCTAGCCACTAGTTAACCGGAGAGGCAAGGCCACTAGTTAACCGGAGAGGCAAGGCCTTGATGGTACACACCTTCAATCCCAATACTTGGGAGGTGTAGACAGGAAGTAATATGGCTGGGTAGGGAGAGGAATATAAGGTCGGAGGAGATGAGCTCAGCCCATTCAGTACGAGGATTCCTAGGGACAGGAATTTTGGTCTGAGATTCCGTAGAGGTAAGAACTCTAGTGTCTGGCTCCTTTCTTTACTTCTCTGGTCTTTCAGCTTTCAACCCTTAATATCTGACTCCATGTTTTTATTATTAAGACCAATTACATCTCTCTCTCTCTGTCTCTGTCTCTGTCTCTGTCTCTCTCTCTCTCTCTCTGTGTGTGTGTGAGAGAGAGAGAGAGAGTGAGAGAGAGAGAAACATAGCTAAATGAACACAACCTGTTTAGTGTCCCTATCATATGATTTCAGAGCTGACCATTTGGTGTTGGATAACCAGTTAGGGCTTCATCCCTGGGAAAGACTATCTGGCTCCAATGATCCTTGGTTGCCTGTAGTTCATTGTCTAGGGGTGGGAATATTTGACATCTTGAACAGTAGGTGATATATTTAGATACTTATCTGTGAAATTAATGGATGACGAAGGAGGATGATCTCCTTCGAAAATGTATAAGATGGCTTAGCTGGTAAGCCTGCTTCATAGCTTGAAGACCTGAGTTCAATCTTCAGGATCCACCCACATGGAAGAGAACTAACCTGTATAAGTTGTCCTCTGACCTCCACATGCTCCATGTGATCCACAGGCACACATACAGACAGAATAAATGTAATGACTTATCACATACATGCAATAGATTAAAAAACATTTTTAAATAATATACTTTAAACTTCAGTATAAAAAATCATTTCTTTTTCTTTAGACATCACTTGTCCTTCACACACTGGCGTGACAGAACAGTACAAGTTGGGCAGTTTACCAGGAAGGAATAATTTCTCCTGAAATAATTGAATTTAAAATACCTCTTGTGCTTTGAACTATTGCTTAATCGTCAGTTATAATTTCCTTCACAAATTCTTTACTCCCAGAGACAGTTTTCATTGAAGTAAGATTGTACATTTCAATTGTACCTCGACAGACATTTCAATGTGCTTTTTTTTTTTTTTTTTTTTTTTCAAGCAGCTGTGAGGCGGGGAAGGCAGCAACTAGAAGCAAGCTGCCTTCTCTTTGTCTTCAGGTGTGAACTTGAGGCCTAGGAAGCATAGACCTAGCCCTCCTCTCACATGACTAATTACCCACAGAGCCTGCACAAGGATCCTACAGCTGTTAGTAGCTGGAATTATTCTTCATTTTTTTCCCCATTATGAACTCATACATTTGAAGTATTTTCAGGAGATGGAGGAATATGCATCTCCATTCCTCTGTAAGAGAGGATAGCATTGTTTTGTATAGTTGCTGTGGGGATTATAAATGATCTGGTGACGGCAGTGACTGGAGTCCTTCAAGAACTTCGAAAACAATGCTGTCTGCTGTTACATGCTTTCCAGAAGTATAGGCTTTTATAGGTGTGTGTGTGTGTGTGTGTGTGTGTGTGTGTGTGTCTGTCAGACCTCACTGCATAGTTCAGGCTGGCCCTGGAACTAAAAATCTTTCCACCTTTGCCTTCCCAGTGCTGGGATTACAGGTGTGCACTCCCGGTACCCTGATGGGTTTTAAAGCATCAGCATGCCATCCTTAGTTTACCTTGTGAATCAAGTTAAACCCACCATCTACTGTGAGTGCAGTTTTCTTTCTTCCTCAAGTGACAAGTGAGGCTAGCTTTGCTTGGATCAACCATGTACAGACATCTTTGGAATAAGAGAGATCAGATACAAGGCAGCCTTACAGTTCATGTTTCAATTTTTTTTTTATTATAGTGGTATCATTTACTTTGGTAAATTCATATTCCGATTTTAAAGTGCTTCATAGCAAACAAAACTTATTTACAAATTCAAGTACTGCATGTTATACACACAATAGTTGCACAGTGGAATTTCTCTAGCAAGCTGTTGTTTCACAATGCCCAGTACTAATCGTACTGCAGTAGATTACACTAAATGCATCACCTTACCGAAATCATTGTTGCATAGTACAGTAAACAGTACAATAGCTTGTATGATTGGACTTCATAGCTTTAATAAAATTATAGCATGTAGTGATGAATGAAACTTTCCCCTTTTTTCCTGAGGTCCAAACCCAGTCCTCCTTTGTGCTAGGTGAAGCTCTGTTACCTTGCTATGCTTCCAGCCCAAAAGAAACATTTTTATATATAGGTTGCAGTTATAGGTCAGATGCTTATGCAAGAATAAACACTTAATATGCTGTTGTATCCTTGATAAAACAGCATTGTTTCTTTTTACTAAATAGAGCAAGTCAGGCTAAAAGGGACCTGAGGTAATAGAAAAAAAAAAAAGACATATTAAATCCCTGTATTATATTAAAAGTTACTTGATATAATTTCCTTGTGGCTAAAGCATATTTACTGGTCAACATATATACATATGTGTGTATGTGTGTATATATACACACACATGTGGAGAGGGAGGGGGATGGAGGGGGATTGATTTTGAAGGCTGCACTATAATGCTAGCATAGCTATAGCCCTTATGATACTTCAGCTGGAAACAAAGAACAGCGGTTTATAATCCTTTTTGCTGTTGTTTAGGGAAAAAAAATCCTATAACCACCTAGTATCTTAAAACAGGTATTTATTATTTAAGGTCTCAAATGTACCTGCATTAAACAAATTAGTTTTTAAAAAATCATTGCAACAACTCATTACTTAGTCACAAACATATTTTACATCTATATTTATTACAGTTTGAACAATTTAAAAGACAAGTCTTGCAGACACTCTTAGCTCAGCTAGCAATACTATCCTGTTAGTTCACACAATGACTGAAACTCTTTCTCCTAGTTCACAGAGTACCTTCTCTAAGGCCATAGCCAATGTTTCTCACAGATCATTTTACAGATGGAAGAGTTCAGATGATGAGCGGTTGGTAACTGTCCTAGTAACTAGGTGACCACCTTTTCAATTTGCTGTAAAAGTTTTGTTTGTATAGCTGTGTGTGTGTGCGTTTGTGTGTGTAGATATAACCTTTACAGTTCTTTCAACAAAGTGGCTCCCTTGCAAATCAGACACTGATTCTAAAGGACTTTAAGATATAGGGCACCCCAATTTTACCAATCATCAAAATAGCATTGAGGTGTGCTCTATACTTCATTCACAATTGCTCACAGACAAACCACTTAATTCCTAGGGTTCAAATGATTGTCTCAAAAGGAAAGATCCTAAGAGAATATTGAGTCCCCTCCTTTAATATTTGTTCTTAGTGGCTGTCTTCTTAGAAGTAGAACAAACATTTTAGGTCCAGCTGGTCCTGAAGCCATGGAGGGTAACTCAGTGTAACGCTTCAGTATCCAGACAAGCTATTTCACTAACCTGAGGATGTTCAGCCATTGAGGGACACTACAGACTTAACCAAGCCACCTTATACTTCAAGTTTTGGATAAAGCTTTCCAGGATAACAACTATTTGTATGATAAATAAACCAGAAACCACACTGAATTTCTAATTTATTTTTAAGCACCCCCTCTCCAAAAAAAAAAAAAAAAAAAAAAAAGCTCATCTTTGGAGTCCTAACAACTTTACTTTTTACTATGTGTGTTCTCTGTAGAGGCCACAGCCCACAGCATCTTAACATTATACAAAAATATAGATACACCCTGGTGTCACTGATAAACCAAGTACTGTCTTTGGGTTAGTTGGTTGCTGGTGGGGGTTTGATGGAGGGAATACTACATGATCTTCGCATGATAAGCCTGACTTCGATGTCTGGTAGATTATCTTGCCTGCTCTGTAAACAGCCTTCGTCAGTGGCTGCTAAATGGAGATCAAATCGAAGAGAAACAGACTTTTTCCTCAATCGGGGGTTATCTTTAAAGAATGAACCTTCCCATTCTTTTATAACTTCATCCACTTTCTCTGTCCTGAAATGAGAAATTAGACATTTTATGGAAGAATAAATAGACACAATGTACAGTCCATATTTATTAATAGGAATATGTATAATGTATAGGTTGTGGGATTTTAACAATTTAGGTTTATTTTATGTGTGTTTTGTCAGTATGTATGTATGTATACCAAGTGGCCCATGCCTGGTACCCCCCAGGGTCAGAAGAGGATGTCAGATTCCCAGGAACTGGAGTAGTGAATGACTGAGAACCACCATGTGCTCTTTACCACAGCCATCTCTCCACATCGAGGTTGGGGAATTTGTAACTGACACATATGACTTTAGACGGGCGAACTCTGTTAATCCCAGCACTCTGGAGGCAGAGGCAGACAGATCTGTGAGTTTGAGGCCAGCCTGGTCTACAAGAGCTAGTTCCAGGACAACTTCCAAAGCCACAGAGAAATCTTGTCTTGAAAAACCAATAAATAAATAAATATAAATAAAATAAGATTAAAAATTAATCTTTAATGTGGAATTCTGTAGAATTTCTACACCTTCCTTCCTTCCTTTCTACAGGGTCTTGCTATATAAGTCCAGCTATTCTAGGACCTACTATGTAGATCAAGCAGGCCTCCAAAACACAGAGATCCACCTGCCTTTTCCTTCCAAGTGCTGGGATTCTACATAATTCTTAGGTTCTGATTTTAGTTTTAGTTTAGAAAAAAGGGTGAATTATTTTCATACTCTTATCCATGTCTGTCTGAAAAAAATCACAATATATTGAAAGTATTTGAAATATTTAAAAAAGACTGCTAAGCTGCTGAGTTGAAGTGAATTTCATCATGTTTTGTATTAGAGCTTTCATAGTCCGAGCTGTTTTACTTACTGAATGGTGCCATGAGCCTCCGCACTCTCCTTCACCACGTTTTCATTTAATACTTCCTGTTTGGTCATTGTCTCCACATTATCATTCTCATACTTCTGTGAGACTTTTGTTGAGAAAGTTATTTCATTTATAATGGCTGTGAAAATGTTACATTGAATTACAATGTTGGAAAAAAAAGGAAAATGGAATATGGGGGGGGGATTGTCACAACAACATTGAAGTACTGAAATTCCCGCTTTTGCTGCTTTGGAGAAGTTCCCGTACAGTCTCCATAAATAACATGCCTACTTTCAAATTAGTTTACTGTGTGGGAAACTCACCTGAGGGGAGAAGAAAGCCAACTTTACTCCTGGTAGGTTTTTCTTCCTTTTTCTCTCCTTGGATACAGCCATAATATCTGAAATGGAAAGAGTCATGGAAACAACACTGCGTAGCAAAACAAAAACAAACACAAAGAAAACAGACAAAAGAACAGGTAAGTTGTTACATTCACACAATGGGAATAACATTCAGCATTGACAGTGATGAGCCCAGCGGAGTCGTCACCAGCGACTCTCACAGGCATAAAGAAGAGTGGAGGGAAACTAGGAGCTAGCTTTTTGTTTGTTTGGGTGGTTTTTAGAATAAGGATTAAAATAATACAGACTGGTTTTCTACATTGTATAGATATGCACCTATTATCAAAAGAGTTGTGTGAGACTAGTAAGTATCAAATTTGGAGCCAGCCTGAGGGACTTGGGGTGTGGGAGGAGGTTGAGGGGGGCGGGGCAGCCACAAGGCATGCGGGCCCTGTTTAGATACTCGGAAAATGAAGCATCTTAGGTTGGAGAGGCTAGAAACATGTTAATATGTAGGACCTCAAAAGTCAGAGGATTACAATATATACTACTTAATAAAACTGCTCATTATATTTTCTGGTTTTATGTAACAACATTGTTCATTTGTATTCTCCTGTATTTATATCTTAAATATAATAACACAAATTTAGAAAATTATAAAAATGTTAAAAACCAATTTGTCAATATTTCTAATGATTAGGAATTAACACCTATGATCATTATTACATAATATATTAATTTCACACCATATATAAAATCACATTTTAAGAAAAATCACAATGTGCTAGATAGTGCTTTAAGCACTTCACAAATGTTAACTCATAGATCCTCACAGTGATCTTGTGATGTAGGTAATATTATTCCCATTTTGCTGAGGAGAGAACTGAAGCACAGAGAGGTTAGATAACTTGTCCAAGGTCGCTGAACTAGTAAGTGGTATATTTTGAATTCAATTTATGATTTTGAAGGATTTAAGAAATGTCAAGGCTTGTCACAGGCTAAACTTATTCCATCTGGTTCTGCAGAAGACTCAGAATTCTGAAACAATCAAGAACAAAGATTTATTGTTATGGGAATATAGAGATCTGGTGGTAATGCCATGTTCAAGAGTCTAAGGCCTTTTAAATAGTTGTAAAATATAATATTGAGTAAGAATTAGCCTGTTAACACCCTTTTATCTCAGGATACCTGAAGCTTTTTAAATGTGACTCAGAACAGTATTGCTTTCCATGCTTGAAAGAAAATCACATCATTATCATTATTTTTCATTTTTTGAGAACGTTCTTGTTCTCCAACTTGCTATTGGGCTGGGGATGACCTTGAACTCCTGATCTTCCATCCTCCACCTCCCAAATGCTGAGATTACAGGCATGCATGTCTAGATTATGTGATGCTGGGGAACAAACTGAGGTTTTCGTGCATGCTGGGAAAGCCCTCCACTAGCTGAGCCCCAACCCCTGGTGTTCTCTGTGGGGTGGGGGTGGGGCCTTAGGGCCAGGTTGTGGTGATAATGTGTGAGTCGCCAAATTTCTTTGGAGGTGATTTATAGAAGTTCTAGTTCTAAAAGAGAAACAGTGAAGGAAGTGGAAAGCTAAGAAAAGCCTCTTAGGGAGCAAGGATTGTTAACAGCCAGCTCTGGTTATGAATGTGCTGGTTTGAGCAGGCTGGGCACAGTGTCCACGCTCCCTGGAGGGTGTGCTAATTCCGCTTTCTTATAGGGGCTCAGTGAACAGCTGTGGTGGTGGTGCTGGGCTTTATTTTGTATTTGATTTCTCTGATGGCATCAACAGTGCGCTGTGCATGTGGCCCCATGCCATCCTGTGCAATGATGTGGGCTTAGGTACCTGAGCTCTTCCTGTTCTAGCAGGCGCCGGTATGTTGCTATTTCCTGCTCCAGCCTCATTTTGGTGTTGAGAAGCATCTCATGCTCCTGAAGCTGCCTCTCGATGCCACATCTCACTTCCTGCAGTTCCTTCTCTAGTCTGTCAATCACCGACTCCAGATCTTGCAGCTGCATCTGGTATTGCTGCTCACTGGCCTGCAGGGAGTTTTCAAGGCCCCTTTCCTGTTGACAGATCATCAGCAGTGAGCCAGTGACATGGAGTGGGCTTCTGCTATCTATCTATCAATCCTATTTTTGTTTTTTTTTTGTTTTTTGTTTTTTTTTTTTGGCATTAGCAATCAAAGCCAGGGCCTTGAACAGGAAAGGCACTGAGTCATACCTGTAGCCCCACTTTTTTTTTTTTTTTTTTTTTTTTTTGTTTTTTTGTTTTTTGTTTGTTTTTTTAAAGGTTATAATAGTTATGTTTCACTTATGCAAGGGGACTTTTTCTTTTTGAAGTTTGATTCTTTTTCACATTTATTTTGTGTATGTGAATGTATGCACGTGGAAGTCAGAAGACAATTTTCAGGAATTTTTCCCTTGTTCTATCATGCAAGAATGGGAGATCAAATTTAGGGTATCAGGCTTTTTGGCAAAGCACCTTTACTTGCTGAGCCATCTTGCCGGCCCCCTTTCTGCTGTTTGAGACAAAGTCTCATGATGTAGCCCAGGCTGGCCTTGAACTTGGAATTACTGGTGTGTGCATCGAGGCCTAGTTTATTCTGTAGTTCAATCTGACCTTGAGCTAATGGCAGCCCCTCTTCCTCAGCCTAGCTTACATTTTTTTTTCTTTAAAGAAAATTATATTTAGTGGCTGATCATGATGACACTCACTTGTAATCACAGCTTATTACTCAGGAAGTGGAGGAAAGAGGAACACCAGTTCAAGGCCAACCTGGGCAATTTTGTGAGATGCCATCTCAACACCACCACCACCACCAGCAAGGGCTAAGGATTCGGCTCCACAGCAAAGCACTTGTTTAGCATGCACGAGTTCCTGGGTTTAATCTCCAATACTGAATATTTTTAAAAACATACATAAACAGATAGCTTTCTGTATTTCAAAATAGTGTTGTAATCATTCCTTTGGCAAGGGAAAAAAAAAGCCCTTTACATTGTGATTAACATGCTGTCATTCTGAATTATTTGATTTTGTAAAATATTGAAAATATAATGAATGTCGAAGTTGAAGCAGACTGCTTATAAAAGAAGGCATGCTAAGAGCCAATGAGATGCTCAGTGGATAAAGGTATTGCTCAGCATGGGTTCAATCCCCTGGTCCCTCATGGTGGAAAGAGAGACCTGGCTCACAAAACAAAACAAAACAAACAAACAAACAAAAAACTGTCCTCTGACTTCACATGTGCACACACATAAATAAATAAATGTAATTTTAAAAAGGCATATTAAGAAAGTGCTTAACAATTTTCCCTTTAGAAATCTCAATGGCATGAATGCAGGAAGCCAGCTGTGAGAAAACGAAAGCCAATAACAACACATAGTCCATTTTCTCATAGCAATAGTCAGGGAGCCCCAGAGCATGAGCAAGTATAACTGAAATTTTCTAGGTGTGAACTGAGCTTCCAGTGAGCTGATTACAGCCACTGGATGGGAAAGAGCGAGGATGGGGCCAGCATTCGGTATCCTCCACCGCAGAGTGACAGCGTCTTCTTTTTCCTCTCTCTTCCGTACATGCTGGGCAGACAGATGCTCTGCCAGCAAGCTATCTTCCCATGCCCCTTCCTCTCCCGAAATCACATAGTCTCTGGGGTACAATGAGCCAGTTTCTTGGGATCTTCCTTACCACAGCATGGAGAGACTCAATCTCTACTTGCAGGTGGTGGCACTGGCGGCGGGCCTCCTTGAGTTCAGCCTGAGCTGCCTTCAGAGCCTCCTCATCCTTGTCCATTTTTTTGGTTATGTCTTCCTCTAGCTGTAAGAAAGTCAACAATAACAACAGCAAACAACAACAGCAAGACCAAACCAAAAGACCAACAACAAAACCAAAACAACCAAAGGGCACTCTTGAAAAGGTCTTTAAAATCAATCATAGCACAATTATATAGGAATCAAATCACACTTTCTTGTCACTGGTGCTTCATTGCTAGTCAATCAAATACTTGAGCCAGCCAATTATGCTCTTGGCCCCAATCTTGTCTGTAATACAATGATCTCAAAAGTCCCTTCCAACTACGGCAGTGCATGAAATACAGAAAAGAAACACATCTTTTTTAATGAAGACAAAGTTTTTGTGACAAATTTGTGACCTCTGGATTTTCACATTCCCTTATATGTGTCAATAAGGAAGATCAGTTGAAATTCAGTGATTATTTTCCAACATTTTTTTTTGTAGGCTGCTTCATAGAGGCAGATACACAGCTGTACACCCCAAAAGAGGTCAATTCTGGACGCATGGACTGGGAGTAGGCACCGCTAGAAAACTGGAAAATTAAGTTGTCATAGTCATCAAGGTCCTTAAATGAAGTTCTGTGTTGAGGAAACCTTTTTACTTTTTTCAATATGTTCTTTTTAGAAGGCATCTTCAGTTTGGATATTTGGGGTAGTAATAAAAAAGATTGTGTGTGTGTGTGTGTGTGTGTGTGTGTTCACATGCCATGTAGGTATATGTTTGTGAAAGCACATATATGCTAGAGTTAGCCTCTGGTGTAGTTCCTCTGGAGCCACCCACTTTGTTTCTCTTTTCTTAAAATAAACTTTTTTTTGAGGTATGATTTCTCATTGGAACCCAGGCTTGCTGATTAGGTTAGGATGGCTGGTCAGTGAGCCCCGGGGATCAATTTGCCTGTCTCCAGATCTCATTGCTGGGATCACAAATGCATACCACCATGTTTTACTTTTGTATGTAGGTCCTGCTGATCAAAATTAGGTCTTCATACTTTTACAGGATAGCTGAACTATCCTCCAAGCGCCCCCCCCCATACATCTTAAAGGTGATTTTCTAAATGGTCTCCTGTTATAAAAACAATTAGGGAAAGACATGTAGCTCAGTGATAGAATGCCTGTCTGACAGGCACATGGGAAAACTGGAGTATTTTCTGTTTTGCTTGAAATGTTTTCATGCTGATGGAATTAAAAGAAAACACCAGTTAACAGCATTATCAACATTTGACCTCATTAGGAGCAATGTATTGAGTTGATTTGAAGGAGGATGAGGAGAAGAAGGAGAAGAAAAGACTGACTACTTTTTATGTTCTTTTTAAATTTGTAAATTTGATTATATGGTAGATTTTATTTAAGGGGATCCAGAGTCAGTAAAAGTCTATACATAAAGTTAAGAGCATAATATTAGAGAAGAGGGCTGGAGAGTTTTCTCAGTAACTAATTGCTTGTCATGCAAGCCTACAGGCAGGAGTTCAGATCCCCAGAACCTACGTAAATGCTGGTAAGTGTGGAAGCCTGCCTAGGAAGGTGGGTTAGGACATCTCAAGTCTGGATATATCATTGAGCTCTGTATTTGACTGACAGACTCTCCTGAAATAACAAAGTGGAAGAGCGATGGAGGACAATTTTTTGAGATCAACCCTGGTTCCCTACCAGCGTAAACCAACATGCATGTGAATCTTGCACAGTTCACCCATACACATGCAAACATACATGCTTACATGTAAACACCCACACATACTGCCCAAAAAGTGGAAAAAGAAAGATGCTAGAGGGAATTTGTTTTTTGCCTTTCTTTCATCAGTTGATCACCACACATTTAGTGTTAACTTGGCAAAGTCAAGCAGCCAACATCTATAGAAGCAACTGTAAAATGGGAACGAAAGACTTTTGGAAACAATATCAGGTGATGGGAACCACTGGTCTTTTGAATTCCCAGTGGGGATCAGGCAGGTAAAGTGTGTGGTAGCTAGATTCCCAAGATGGTCTCCAGTGAACCACACCTCCCCAAGTTCATGTCCTGAGTCTTGCTGTGATTAGTTGGATGTGGTAAAGGTGAAGCTGTCCCAGTCTAGGCTATGCCTTAAGAAGCCTGCTAGCTTCCACATTATGTTTTGGGGATCCCTGGGCATCATTGTAGAAGAAAGCTGGATACCTGGTTAGAGAGGGTCACATAGGGAGGCTAGGTGGAGAGGGACCCGAGACTACATGGAGAGGGAAGCAAGCTCAGATGTCTCAAGCCAGCCTTTCGGCATTCTGCTGCCAAAGTCCCAAACACATTTACCAGTCACTTGGAGTATAGCAGTCAGTAGGGGCCCCAGGTGACTGCATCCTATTCAGCATGTGGAGTAGCCCCAGAGTCCCTGCATCCCAGCCTCCTCATCCCACAGAATCACAAGATAGGATACAATAGGCTAAATTTTAGTTTTAGGGGTGACCTTTATGCAGCAATTGCTAGCTACAGCAACTATATGTTTATTTTATTTGACTTATTTTACATGTTTGGTGCTAGAGTTTGAACCCAGGGCTTTGCAATATGTTGTGGTAATAAAACAAACTGACTTTGTGGATTATTTAGGATTATTTCTCTCAAGAACCTTTATGTTATAAAGTGTTGTGAGCAGAACTTATGAGAGTTTTGCTTTATATTCAAAGTCACTCAATTTGGCATTGGTACTTATAAACTAAACTTAGATTTCTACTTTGTAAAATAAAGCATTCATTTAGTTTATACTTTTCAAAAAATTGTCATCGCTTAATATTTTTCCCTATTATATGAAGGTGAACAAACTTCTTCAACATTTAAATCAATGGCCCAGTGACATTATTTAATCTAGGGAACTGATCACTCTTTGAAAACTTAAAATGTTAGCCACATGCAAAATCTACAATGATATTCCAGTAAGTTGCTAATGGAACGCAAGAAGTCCTATGATTTTTTTTTTTTTTTTTTTTTTGCTAACAGCTTTATATGGAATTTGAATTGAGCTTTGGTCTGAATTGGCTTTGTTTCACTTATTTATTTTAAATATCTTGCAAGCTTTATGTTCAAAGTAAAATGTTCTCTTAGTCTAAATGCAAAAAAAAAAAAAAAAAAAAAAAAAAAAAAAAAAGGGGATGTTTTTGTAGAGCCACTACCCAGCTGGGGGATTTTGAATGTCAGAATTTGTATCCTTGATTCTGAAAGCCATGTTCACACACTCAGATGATTCTATTTATAGCACTGAATGCACGGAAAAGATAATAGAGACCTTTAAAAATATTTTACTTGCTTTTCTCTCCTCCTCAGAATGTGCAGACAAACAATCTTGACTAGTAAGCTTTCATTCTACAGATGTTATCTAAATCGCTTCTATAATTAACTCCATAACATCTTTGAAGAGTGTGTGGAATGCATCTTTCCTGAAAATATCTAAAGAGGTCGGAGTGCACCATTTTATTGCTTGTTGACTCCATGTTTTAGTAATGACGGTCACCTTATGCTCTCTATAAAATTCCAATTCATCAATCAATATTTATTGAATGGTCACTCAGCAGCAAGCCACAGGGTTTATCCCTGTCTGTCACCCCAGACTCAGTGCAGAAACACCTACATTGCCTCCCCAGTAGATGCTGCGTGGAAAAGGAAATACTGTACCTCAGAGAGGCCGGGACAGGAATCGGGTAGACATGGACTGTCTCCTTATCCTGAAGGTGCCTGGCTGAATGAAATCATTACCTGCATCCGAGTTGACAGCACCGTCTCTATCTGATTTCTGGTGAGAAGCTGTTCATAGTTTGCCCTGATCTCATTGAGGAGCTGGGACAGCTCCATCCTTTTCCCATCCTCCACCTTGGCTAACTGGACCTTAGCGATGGGATGAGTCGCTGCGGCAGAGCCTGCCCTGCCTGCGTCGCCACAGCAGACAGCCCCGCGGAGCCTTAAAGATGCAGAGATCCATTTCCCCACCAGAAGCGGGGAGGGAGGGGGGAACTCCTGGGTTGCTAATCAAGTATGCAAATGTGAGAAACAGTTTGTGCCCACTGTTATTGGTACAGCAGAAACCTCAGAATCTCCAGGGAAGGGAAGAAAATGACACCCACAGGTCACTGCAATCACATGTGAATGCTTTGCCTGTGGGGGATAGGGAGTTCAATTATTTTGTGGTAGGTAATGGGTCATGACATTAAGTAAACTATTGTTAGCCAGGTATGGTGGTCTGCTTGTTATCTCAGCACACAATCAGAAGGATTCAAGGTCAGTCAGGACTTCATAAGGCAGACCCTGCCTTGGGAAGGGGCTGGGAGCAAAACAAAACAACACAAATCTAATCAAACCACCACAAAAAGCCGCAAAACACACAAAATTTCATTGTGTGTAGCTATTGTGTGGACATTAATCTGGGCTCCAAATAGGATAGTTTAAATTTTTCTTTATAGTTTTCCATTTGAACTTTTTCCCCCTCTCTCTACAAAACGCTAAAGCAGAGGGGAAGGGGAGGAAAACAGAGGATAAAGGAACAGAGATGACAAGAAACAGACTGGAGACTGTTCCAGGAGAGGAAGCAAATAGAAGGGAGATGGTGAAGGACCATGGTGGAGGGGATGAGTACAAAGGACAATGGCACATATGGACGAAAATGCTGCAATGGGGCCTATAAGTTTGTATGCTAACTTAAAAATATTAATTAAGAAAACCCAAACACTATGGCAGAGCATTGGCATGTGTTATCCATTTCAAGTGTCCTAACACTGTTAGGAAAAGCTGGCCTCAGACGAAGTCGATAATCATCATTAGTTGTATTTCTCAAACGGTGGAGGACTGCCAGCCCAAGAGCTGAGTTGATGGATAAAATGAACTCCTGAAGTCACTCATATTACAGATGAAGCGAGCCTGGAGGCAGGCGCTAGAGCAGTTCTTGTGGGAGCTGTGAGTTAATACTGCTGGTGTTGTGAAAGGGAGCCCTCTGGTCCCTGTAGTGGGCCATCCACTGAGGGAGATGTTTCTGTTGCTAGTAAACATGCAAAGAACAACACCTCCCTTAGAGACAAGCCTTCAGCTCTTCCAGCAACACTGTTTCACCCTGTCTCCAGTTCCTGGCATTTGGTGACCTGCAAAGATGGAAGGGCTATGGCCAGAGGAGTTAAGTCCTACCCAAGGTGGCCCATTGAAGTGGCAACATCACTGAGATCAGGACTTTGACTGCATGTTGCATGCCATGTCTGCTTTTTCATTCTGAACTCACCTGGATCCCTGCTCAAGACAACAACCATGTTAGATGAGACTAGAATATTTTTGGGGATGGGCCTGTTATTTACAGAGTGGATGAATCAGATCTTGGTTCTAGAACCCTCTTGTTTAAAAAAAAAATGTGTGATTATGTGAGTGTGTATGTGTGTGAGTATGTATGCATGTGACTGAGCTGTGTTTGTGTGTGTATGTGCGAGTGTGTATGTGAGCGTGTGTATGTGTGTGAGGCTGTGTATGTATGTGGCTTGCCATGGGCACAGATGTGAAGGTCAGAGGATAACTTTGTGGAATAATCTGTCTTCTTCCATAATCTGGTTCTAGGAATTGAACTCAGGTTGTCAGGCTTAATGGGCAGCTGACCCATCTTGAGGACTCTTGCTCTTTTAATTTCTGAGTTAATTTACTTCTAATAAAGTATGTTATTATTTATGTGTGTGTACATGTCTCTTGACTTATATTCAGGATTGTTTCAGGTAGGTCCTGCCTGGAACCTAGAGACCTGAGCTAGCTGCAGAGGTCAATCCTGTCTTCCCTTTACGCAGACCTCTCAGTATTTCCTATGCACCTAAGCCAGTGTCCTCTTAGAGAAACACAATGTGAACTGCAAGCTACACGTGTAGTTTCAAATGTTTGAGTGATCGTCTCAAAAGATACAAAAGAAACAAGTGAAGTTAATTTTAACAGTATATTTATTTAGTCCAATATATTGAAAATGTGGTAATATAGAACATTAGCCTTCTTTCGATATTGTCTTTGAAATCCAAGGTGTTTGATATATCCCATTTCAGTTTGGGCAAGCCACATTTAGGGGCCTGAGGGGATGGCTCATCTGGTAATGTGTATGCTACCTAAGGGTAGGGACCTGTGTTCGGATGCCCTGTTCCTACATAAAAAAAAAAAAAAAAAAAAAAAAAAACCAACCAACCAACCAAACAACAACAACAAAAACCGGGTGTAGTGACATGTGTCTGTAACTTCAGCATCGTGAAGGCAAAACAGGCAGGTCCCTGGAACTCATTGTCCAGCCATCCTGACTAGATTCAGGAGCTCCAGGTTCAGTGACAGACTCCACCTCAAAAATAAGATGGTGAGGGATTGAAGAAGACGCCCAACACCTACCTCTGGCTTATATACACTTGCACACGCTTATGGATCTACAAACACACATACACTCTCACCAGTAGATAGTGTTCAGTAGGTTGGGGATATAGTTCATCAGTGGACAGATTGTTTATTTAGTCTGTGCAAGGTCCTAGGTGCCACTTCTAGCACTGTTATGCAAAGTTTATAAGACCCCCAAAAAGACCATCAAGGAGCTGACTCACCCATGTAAACGTGCAAGGTTTATTGTAAAGTTTCAAGCCTCCGCAGGGACCCTGTCCAGCAGATTGGCTCAGCAGCTTCAGGAAAAGGGTGCCTGGCCTCAACTGCAAGGGATTTATAAAGGAAAAAACCTCAAGCAGGCTGGTAAGTGTCTTGGCTGTTCAGGATTTGGTAAGCGTAGGTGATCTTTGCATTCATTGCTGTAGGGGCTAAGGGAATTTCAAAATTGTTGCTAACAGTTGCCCACAAGGACAGTTGTGTCAAGAAGATGTTATTTACCAAAATTAGTCATTGCCTTACCACCTGGATGGGGTCACTTTGACCGGAGTGGGCACAGTTTGGGTGTCCTTGGAACTGTTTATGGTTGCTTGGCTGATACTGAATCAGATCAGCCTTGTGCCATGAAGGGAATTTCCCAAGGTGGCTTCTTTTTTTCTTTCTTTTATGGAGCTAACTTCACCCTCTCCAGTTTATCTTACTCTTACAGCATCAGAGAAAAATAAAACTACATGGCTAGTAGCCCATGGATTAGACAGTGCAAATTTAAAATTTGAGCCCCTGGCTGGGAACACTAATTGTGCATATCAGTAAATGCTATTCCCATACTTATGAATGCATAAAGGCAATAGCGTTGGAATTGTTCTGAGGAGTTAGTATTTACACATCCAAGAGCATGTGATTGAAAAGGGTAACCACTTCAAGATTTTAAATTCCTTTTTTTTAAAAAAGTAAAAATGTAGCCACTTTTGAGAAATACTGCTCTTTTTACAGAAAACCAGTCACAATAGCTCATCAAATACATTTGCGGCCCCCTCTCAGGCACAAACACGGGATACTACATCAGCACATCATGTTTCAAAGTTCAAATACACACTGTAAAATTCATACAAAAAACAAACACCTAAAGAAAAGGAGGTACGTCTTACGTTCAATAGATGCCACTATGTCTCTTTTTTCCTCATTAAAGTTAAGTTAATGTGTTCTTTGACAACATCATATGCAAAAATAATGCATTCTAATTGCTTTCCTTCCTACTTTAAAAAAAATGTTTATATTTTTATGTGTAAAGGTGTTTGCTTGCACGTTATGTGTACCATGTGCCTGCAGTACCTGGAGAGGCCAGAGGGGGGAGTCTGAACCCCTAGGTCTAGAGTTGCAGGCTCTCTCTAGACCCTTCAACTTCTCATTCCTATTATTCCTCCCCATATCCCCCACACCAATCCTTTTCCAGATTCATGAATTCAGGCTTTGTTTTGAGAAAGGAAAGAGGAGAGAGAGAGAAGGATGGGAGACAGGCAGGAACCTTTTAAAAGGGAACATAATGAATATGCACAGATGGTGCTCTTAGAGGTTATGGTTGAGCACCTATCCTATTAGAACCCCAAGTACAGGCCAGTACAGATGCCTGAATACTAACACCAGCAGCTAGCTACCTTGTCTCATATACTTGAGACAGGGTCTGTCTGCATAGCCCTGGAATTCAGAAAAATGAACTGTAAACCCATCCGTTTCTCTTCTCTACACGAGTGTGTGTGTGTGTGTGTGTGTGTGTGTGTGTGTGCGCGTGTGTGTTCATAGCTCAGCTCCTACACTATTTTTATGTTAAACAATCCTGGGGTTAAAGAAATAAAAGGAAGCAGAGGCAGCTGGATCTCTGATTTCACATTTCCTCTGGTTTTTATTGAGACAGGGTCTATTTGTATCATTCTGGCTGTACTAGAACTAGCTCTGTAGACCAGGCTGGCCTCCAACTCAGAGATCAGACTGCTTCTGCCTCCTGAGTGCTAACACAACAGCTTGGCTAATTTCACCTTTCTTATTTATTATCTATCTATCTATCTATCTATCTATCTATCTATCTATCTATCTTCCACTTGTAAGTAATTGATTTGTGACTTCTGCTCATACATCTGTGTCCTCTTACCCAGCAGGAAATTCCCTTTGTAGAGGTAACTAGTTTGTGTCTTTTGTATTCCCCATCTGCTTGAAGGAGATGAAGGGAACAAATGAATTACCAGGAAAAGCACTCCGTTCCTCACTTTTTAGTATTCATAAACTCAAGCACACGAGATAGGCAGCTGTCTTTCATGTCAGTGATTTTTACTAAATGACACGGTAGGAGTGTGGCATTAGGTTTTGGAGAAATGACAGCCCTTTTAACCTGTGCTTTATGAGAGTGTGTGACAATCATGAATGGGAATTTTGCTTTGAAGAGGAAAAATATTGAAAGGGAGAGTAACAGATATGTTAGTTTTTATATGATGCATTGTTATATACAAGGATGATAAATCTTAATCCATTTAATAGTCTTACCTGTCACACACACCTATTCATCTCTTCTTCTATCATCTACATGTATGTATATATATATA